TGTGTACTCAGTGGTCCCCTCGCCCCACAACTCTCTAAGAGAGTTCAGCCACCTGCCAAACAACTTTCAGAAGTTTTGTTTTATGTGTTTTTAGCTGCCCTTTATTCTTCCTGGTGTCTGAAGAGGTTAGTAATCAGTTTGTCTCTGGAGGCTAAAAATAAAGAACTGCAGCCCCAAGAGGGTGTTCGCATCCCCTATGAGAAACCTGCCAACCCAGATGCCCCTTGCATAGTTTTTCAGCAACTGATATACTAAGACTCTTTTTCTCATACTGATAGTTAGTGCCGCAATCTAAGAATTTAATGAAAATCGAGTAACAAGCAAAGAACTAGCAAAGCAGATAAATAAATAAAGACAAAGGAATTGTAAAACATATAAAAAGCAGAAAGCTAGAATACTTTGGTCACTTAGTGAGCACCCAAGTATAGACTATTATGCCTGATCGTTCAAGATAAAATAAATAAAAGCTCTCTTAAAAATCTCAGGTATTGTACATGTTTCTGAAATTGAACCCCAATACTCTGCAGTACTTCAATCTGAAGGCATTTTTTTTTTAAAAAAAAAAACTGGAATGAAAAAATGACTCTTAAAAAATTGCCAGGGAGAAAAGGGTACTAAGCTTAAGAACATATCTGGCCTATCCTGTTCAAGGAACCTCTTCTGGCAACGGAGTTGTCATCCCAGCCCCTGAAAAAGCAGCTCCCCTCCCCCCCTCCCTTCTCAGCCTTTTGTCCCCTTCACGGGTCTCTAGGGCTCCATGCAAGGAGACCACGGAAGCGGAAGGAAGCCGATGGTTTGATAACCGTGAACTCTATGAAATCTGCAAACTCCTCAAAACCCATGATGCAAGTTTTTCAGGTGTGGAAGGATTGTAGAGCAAGTCCGTCATTTTACCCCTCAACCTGACAAGGCAGAATGAAGAGATCAAAAGGGGCTTCCTACTTAAGCCCCCCCCCCAACCCAAAACGGTCCTTTGCAGGCAAAAGTGTCACCACAGCTTTGCAGCCGTTCTGGAGCAAATGCTCCCCGCAGTTGTCCTTTCCTTTCCTTTCCTCAGGGTCCAGCTCTGTTTCCTCTGAGCTGAGCACTTCGGTCCCGCCTGCCCCACCTCCCGCCAGCCCCCTCACCTCTGCCATGGGTTTTGGCCTCAATGATCTCACTGATCCGCCCGGCTCCCACGCTGTTCTTGGCTGCCAGCTTCACTTTGTACCATGTCCCACATTTCAGACTCTCCAGCTTGAAGGAACGCTCCGTGGAGGTGATGAAGACGTCCTTCCACTCCTCACTGTTATCCACCGAGTACTGGAGCACAAAGCCTGCAAGAGCAAGAAGATCAGCAGGTGTGCAGGAAAGGGTCCCTCCCGCAGCATTGCAGGGCCAGGGGGAGCCACAGGTCATGGGACAGAGTGCAGCCAAACCGGGGGGGGGGAGAGGGGGCTTGCTGCTATCTCAATGCAGCTGAGAGGTTCTCTGCCTGAAGCCCCAGGGCATCCACTCTTGGGAATCTCCCTGCTGCAGAGTGTCTCTTCATTTAGATGTAGCAGCTCTCACCACTGTCTCATGACCTGATCCTGCTACAGGCTGGGCTGGGCTGCACAAAGAAATCCCAGCAAGACCACAAAAGGCCTCCTCAAGCTCAGGCCAGCCCCGGGCCCAGCAGCAGCAGCAGCAGCAGCAGCGCGAAAGTGAGGCTGGTGGCGGCAGTTGTTAGGGTGGGGCTGGGGTGGAGGTTGTCAAGCCGTCCCCGGCTGTCCATGGTCAGGGAATGATGTCCCAAAACAACCCACAGAGAAGGCAGTGTGTGTGTGGGGTGTGTGTGGGTTCAAGTGCAGCCTCTCCAGAGCAATGCCTGCCAGGACGAGTGGGCTCTGAGGGGCCCTGAGCCCCGATGAGGAGTGGGCCAAGAGTTCTCTCCGGCCTGGGTGACTGGCATCAGTGCCAAGGCAGCCTTTGGTTCGGAGACTCTTTCACTGCTTGGCTTTCACGTTAGTTCTGCCAAACGACCCCATCCCCGAAGGCTATCCCTGAAGGCGTGGGGGAAAGAATGAAGACCAGTACCGGACGGCGTTGTCAGGAGAAAGGACACCTCGGGCCCGTGGGCCAGGGCCGCTGCATCCAGTGTGTCAGCCTCTGCTGCCAATCACAGCTGGCCAAAAAGGGGGTGAGGCTCCTGAGTTGAAACAGGCTCCTCAAGCCAAGCCTAAAGCACCCCCATTTTTGGTTTTAGATCACTGGGAACTCTTATGTGGGGGCCGGCAATAAGGACAAATTCCTAGCATCATGTTTTGTCAGAATTTTCTCCATCTGATTAAATATGTTCAGGACTTAGTTTGCCTTGGCAGGGGGAGAGGAGAGGGAGAGAGGGAGAGAGAGAGACCCTGCACAATCTCTGTAACTATCCCAAGCCATACACCAAAAGCAGCGAGACACTTTCCCCTCTCAAAGCAGGGTCACTACATAAAAGCCTGAAGAGGTGGGTTTTGTCCCCCTCCCCATTTCGGGGACTGGGGAGGAAGGAGCGGCGGAGTGGAGCCAAGACTCCTCTGGGAGCTTGCCAAGGCCAGCCGGTTTGGGAAGTGGAAGCTGGAGGCTGTGGGAGGCTGTCCCCTGGGGCCCCCTGGATCCTCAAAAGAAGCCCTCCAGCACCAGCCGCCCCATGGAGGGCTCCCGGTCCTGTCCTGGCCAGCATCTCCCTGTGAAACTGCTGGGGGAGGGCTGGGAGCGTTGGAGGAGAGCTCAAGGCTGCCAAGAGGCGGCGGCGGCGGCTGCTGGGACCCCTGTAACTCTGCCCTGGCAGGGGCCGGGTTTCTTTTGGGGTCTGGACCTCCTCCTGGTCTCTCCTTCTCCCTCTCAGCACTCCAGAGAGCCTCCTCTTGCCTGCTTCTCTCCACCCAGCCCCAGCCGCAGCCCTCTTCTCTCTCCGCCAGCAGGAGGCAGCACTTGCCTCCCTCGCCCGCTGGCAACCCCCTACTCACACTGCAGCCCCTTTGGGTTGCCTCTGATTGTTCTAGTTTTAATCCAATTAAAAGGAAACTAATCAGGCTATGGGAGTGACAGCTGGTGGATAGGGAGATAGGCTTGTAATTACTTCCATGCTTTTAATTAATTGCCAAGCAAAGGCCCCACCCTTTGTTCTGGGGCTGCATCTGTCTTCCTGGGAGCACCCCAGGGCAGGGATGGGCAGGGTCAGAGAAGTGAGACCCTCGGAGAAAGTGTGGAGACCAGCAGCTCTGCCTGCCAACCAAGGCCGAAGGGACTGCAGGGAAGCCACCCCCCAGAGGCAGGTGTGGCGCGGAGGGTCGGGGGCCAGGCTCCGAGGGGGAACGCCCAGGTTCTCGTCCCCTGCCGTCGCCCTGACGGTCCTTGGGCCGGTCAGCTTCTGTCAGCTTAACTTTCCTTGCAAGGCTGCAGCGAAGGCGCCACAACAGGGCGGAAGCTACTGGAAGGGATGAGAGAGAGAAATCACAACCCCAGAATCTCAGCACTGTCAAGCTGGAAAGGATCCTGGGGGGGGATGCCGAGGATGCCACACCCCTACCCCGTTGGTGAGCCCACATTTTGGCGCCTCAGCCACAAGAATATCAGGAGGAATTTTAATCAAAAGCTCTGCTGAAATCAAGGCGTGCTACATACACCATTATTTCCTCATCCTATGAGGGTTGTGGCTCTTTTAGAAAAAAGAGGATAACATTAGTCTGACATGATCTTAGCCACTCCCCCAACGGGGTTCTGTAAATGGTCACAGGCTGGCAGCTGAACAACCTGTTCCAGAACATCTAATCCATGAAAGTATAGCCAAGCAGCCCTCGGTTGCCAAGGTCTTCTCCCCCTTGCCACCCCCTGCCGCCAGGGACCCCTGGCTTGAATTCCTTCAAAGGAACCAGCTGTTCCCAGACCAGCCCTTCTCTTGCCTCCTCCCTTCCTCCTTCGTCCTCAGGGTGTGTCAGGCTCAGAGGTCTGTTCTCCTTCCGGGAGGAGAAGGAGGCAAAAGGGGTGTCACGTGGGGTTGCCTCCTCTCTCTCTCTCTCACACGAGCGAGCGCTTCACCAGCCTCTCCAGGCAGTGGCTCTTGGTAGGATGGCTATTCCCCCTCCCCAACTCCACTTCTACCTCTTATACATCCTCTTTTGAGTCTCCTTTTAACTCTTAGCTCATCGGACAGCTTTTGATGGAGGCATCCCAGCCTGTTCAACTAGCCTGTACTTTCCTTTTTTGGTAGGAATTCTTTCTGGCTGTACTATTTTTTTTATTTATTCGATTTATATCCCACCCATCTGGTATATTCTACCACTCTGGGCGGCCACTCTCAGCATTTTACCTTTAAGATACTTCCATCTATCATGAACACCCTTCTGACCATGGTGGAATGTCACCAGTTATTTCCTTCAGCTTGCCCAAAGCAGTTGATGTCTCAAAGGCTAGAGTACACACAATCTAATCCCTGTGCCATCACCTCCTGACAAATAGAAGGGGAAGATAGGGAGGTGGTGACAGATTTTCCTTTCTTGGGCTCCATGATCACTGCAGATGGTGACAACAGCCACGAAATTAAAATGCGCCTTCTTGGGAGGAAAGCGATGACAAACCTAGACAACATCTCAAAAACCAGTGGTATCACATTGCCGACAAAGGTCTGCATATCAAAGCTATGGTTTTTCCAGTAGCGATGTATGGAAGTGAGAGCTGGACCATAAAGAAGGCTGACCACCAATGACTTGATGCTTTTGAAATGTGGTGCTGGAGGAGGCTCTTGAGAGTCCCCTGGACTGCAAGGAGAACAAATCTATCAATTTTGAAGGAAATCAACCCTGAGTGCTCACTGGAAGGACAGATCCTGACGGTGAGGCTGCAATACTTTGGCCATCTCATGAGAAGAGAAGACTCCCTGGAAAAGACCCTGATGTTGGGAAAATGTAAGGGCAAGAGGATAAGGGGACGAGAGAGGACGGGATGGATGAATAGGGTCATCGAAGCTACCAACATGAATTTGACCCAACTCTGGGAGGCAGTGGAAGACAGGAGGGCCTGGCATGCTCTGGTCCATGGGGTCACAAAGAGTCGGACATGACTTAACGACTAAACAACAACAAAATCCCTGTGCAAAATCGTGTGCCAAGCAAATGGGAAGACCTCTGGCCTCAACCTGCTTCTTTCTGGACAGGTGAGAACCCTGAAGGAAAGCCCGACTGGCCCCCTAGGCTCCCCTGCCCAACCCTTCTTCAAGGATTCCCCCATTTCCTAAGAGCCAAAGGTAGGGCTGCCTCGAGGGAAGGCTCTCAAAGAGGGAGGATCGGAAGGGGTCATCCTCCTTGCAATCCCAACCCTTCATACGGCAACTGGCATTGGCTGCAGAAGGTGGGGAAGCCAGGGAGGTTGCAACTCTACTGACCGACTGGTGATGGAGGCCGGGGTCTGGGGTGGAAAGGTGGAGTGGTGAGGCTGCTTCAGGAGTGTTCCAGACAGGACAGCCAAAACCCGTACAGGATGGGGTCCAGCCAAACCACCTATAGGGGGAGCAGGGGGCAGTCCCCCCCCCGTTCTTTAGATTCCCTCCTTTGTCCTTCAGAAGTGCAGCACGGAGGCCTTTCTATAGGCCAGGAGGGGGCACACCTACCCACCACTACTCACTCACCTCGGATGGAGCTGCCACCATTATCACCAGGGATCCAGGCCAAGGTGATGGAGGAGGCAGAGGTCTTCGATACTGTCAGTCGTGGCTGGTCTGGAGGCACTGAGTTAAGACAAGGATGGGGTTAGCCCTTCTTAGGCCTCCATTCTTTCCAGCTACTCAAGGGGTGTCAGCCACGGTCCACTGAACCCTAATGGGCGGCTGGCAGAAGGAGCCGTCTCCTGTCCCATGATTTCCAAGTGCCAGCAGGCTGGGAAGCCAGGCCACCACGTAGAGCGGGAGACAAGAGGACCGGGCTGGCTGGGGTCCAGCCCCCTGGGCACGAGGCCAGGTTTTTGTGCCAGAGAAAGGAACCACCTCCTGCCTCCCCCTCCCGCCTCACCTTGCACCAGCAAGTTGACAATGATGGTGTCGAAGCCCCAGGTGTTGGTGGCTGTGCAGGTGTAGTACCCAGAATCTTCTGCTTTCACGGCGCGTAGGATCAGTGTCCCATTGGCCTGGATCTGGCGATGCCCATCCACAGCCACTGGAATGGCGGAATCATCGCTGCAAAGCAAGAGGAGGCCGCCCCCGCCCAGCCGTGAGAAAAGCAGCGTGGCAGCTACCCAGCAGCATCCCAGGCTTCTCAGGTGCAGTCTACGTCATGCCCTCCCCCCAGGCCTCACCTGTCCTTGGTCCACCTCACGGCGGCACTTGGCTCCCCAACCGAACTGCAGGGCAGACGCACATCTTTCATCCATGGAGTGGTCACAGTGCCCCCAAATGAAATGATCTTTGCTGGGGCTGGAAAAAGAAAGGGAGAGGGAGGCGTCCCTTTTCACCTCCTGCCCAGCACAGCCCAGAACTCTTGAATGCTGGGTTGGCTCCACCCGCACCCGCACCCCCACCCCCACCCCCCAGGCCTCCTTAGCCTGACAAGCCAAACCTTTGCCAGCAGGCTCGATGGTGACCTTCTCACTGAGGTTGCCCCGTCCGGCCGATGTGACAGCGGCCACCCACAGCAAATACTGCTGGCCTCGGTTCAGGTGCGCGATGCGATAGAAGAGCTGCTCAGGGCTTGTTTCATACTCACTTGGGGCCTAGGACAGAGCACCGAGAGACGGTCCGGAAGCGGTCAGGATGCAGCAAAGGACCCCCCCAACCCCCCCGAAGCAGATGCCTCACAGGGAGCGGCCCAAGCACCCGCCAACACTTGACTTCCCAAACAACTGGGGCTCAGGGGCTGGAGGGTGCACCTAATCAGTCCCCCACACACTTGCTTTGCTTCTTTCACATGATAAACCGCACCCACTGCAGTGCACACAACCACACACTGTGGGACACAGCACTCCTTTGTGTGTGGCCTGAAACTCCCACCATTGTGCTCCAGTGGAAGGCTCAGTGGTGGTGGTGGTGGGAGGAGCCCCCTTGCCAAGTTCTCGCTGCCAGATACAATTGCAGGCATGCCTAATATTTTGCACGGCCGTGGTGTTTCTCCTCGGCCGCCCTGCCCCAAATGTTACGGTTTTTCTTTGCCTTGCACCCTTGATGGCTTTGCCTGCCTTTTCCTGCACCGTTTTAAACCTGGCCATGTCCCTTCCCAGACGCCCTGGCCTGACAAACCATCGAGGCCACGCCCCCCTCCCCCCCCTCCCTGACTCCTCTCGGAGGGTTTGGGGCCTGCGAGGGCCCAAGGGGTGAGCTTGGGTTCTCTACTCGTGCACAAACTAAGAGGGAGACTCGAGTGTAGGGCCTGGTGAGGCACCGCCTGCTGCCCCAGGACCCATCCCTGGACCTTCTGAGGGGGTGGGGGGTGGGGGACGGCAGCAGGAGCAGCAGCTCCCGTTCTCTGCCCGGTCGGGGCCTGGAAGGCAGTGACCGACTCTCAGGGCGAGCTGGCACGGACACAGGGCCCCCAGTGCCCACCTAAAGAAACCTTGGGCCTTGCGCAGGGTAGGTGGGTTGGGATGCCCTCTGTGCCTGCGTGCCTGGGAGGGTGCCTGCATGCCTGTGTGCACATGCTCATGCATGCGAGTGTGTGTGTATACACACACACACACAGAGTATATTTAAATCTGCAGACATAAATATTTCATTGCATACATAATTTTTAAGCCAAATGACAGTCTTGACAAGATGCCAAGGAAACAATATCAGATCCCAGTGGTTTTACCAGTTGCTTTGATGAAAAGATTTTGTTGCCCTGGAAACCAGAGGCTCAGATATTGAAATAAAGCAGAGGAGGGCATTGATAGGCAAGGCGGCCCCTCCCCTGCCCGCATCACAGACACAGCAGGGCAGGGCTTTTCCTTGGAAGGTGGGGATTGGGGGGGGGAGAGTCAGTGGCTCTCATTTGCCAGACCTCCTCCTCCTCCTCTTCCTCCTCTTCCTCCTCCTTGTGTCCTATCCAGCTGCCCGTTTCCCCTCCCACCCCTGCCCCAGGAGGGTGGCCAAGGGAGGCTGCCACTTCGTCCTCCCACCAAAGGAGAAAAGGGCACCGGTTGCTCTGGGCCTCTCGGGGGGCTTTTGTTCAACAGCAAGAGGGACAGAACCCGAAGGGGCAGCCCATGGCTCCTTCCCTCCCTCCCTCCCCAAAGTGGGAAGCCTCAGAGGCAAACCTGGAGCCCATGAAGACGACCTGGGCCTTGTGGCTTTGGGCCTGGCTGTGTTTTCTGCCCTCCCCCGCTACCCCCTCCTCCTCGTGGGGCCTGGCCAAAGCCCATGCGCCCCACTTGGAAACTGCCCGAGGCCTTTTGACCTGGGCACGAGCTGTGGGAGACTGAAGAAGCTTCAGGTGAGACTCCAGAAAGTTTCCCAGGAGAGATGGATGTAAACTTGTAACCTCGTTATCATCTCAACCTGAGCCATCAGCATTCTCTCTCTCTCTCTCTCTCTCTCTGACTCACTGGCTGCCCAGAACCTGGGCTGGAGCAAAAGATGGTGTACTTCCGGATGATCCCATTGGGCTTGGTGGGTGGGAGCCAGGAGACGACCACACTGCTGGCTGAGGATGGGACCGCTTTGATTCCAGCTGGAGGACCCGGAACTGTTGGGGAAAGAATGGAAGGAAGGATGATGGCCACAGGACTGAAGCAAAGGACCTGGCTCGTGTGCCAAGAGCCTCGCTCACAGAAACAGAAAGTCTCTGAGAAACCCTCAAACCCTGTCGGTCTGCAGAGGGAGCCCCATCAGCTTGGCTGCCCTGAGTTCTGCATCCCTGTGTGGCTGTGCCCTCGGATCTGCCCCAGAGGCTCCAGCACGGCCAAACTCCTGGGCCTCGAATCTTCCCTGGCAGCAGCCAGGAAGGTCCTCCTGGCCTCCAGGGCCTCCTGTAGGCCGGCAGCTCTGAGACGAGGTGCACAAGCCACCCCAGGACAGGGAGGCTGGGAGACGGGCCTCCGGGAGCAGCCGCTTAATGGATTCCAAACTAGGCCAAGGCAGGCAGCCGTGTGAATATTTTAGCACCCACAGCCCCAACTCAGGCTCTGCGTGTGTGGCAGCAGGAAGACTTTCATGGCCAGAAGAGCCCTACGCCGCTTTGTGAAGACAAAAACCAAACATATAAAAATACAAATGAAACCCAAAACCTGTGTACTCCCCAAAAGGAAGGACACCTCCTAGACCAGGCGAACACTCACCGCTTTCTGGAGGAGTGTTTATAGAGATGAAATGAAGCCTTTCTGAAACTGGACACAAACAACATCTGAACTCAAACTCAACAGGCACCCATGAAATCTGACAAATCCCTATGACAGAACCCCACTTCCCTGCTGGTCCTGACCTGGCTGCTCCTTTTCTGCTCTTGTCGGGGTTTAAGGGGGGGAATCAGAACAAGGAAGAATTGAGTGAATGATTTCAAGACAAGCAGGGATCAGTCCGGAGGGACCTCTGAGGACACGGGAGCTCCTGAACAAGGGCAGCTCCAGCAAAAAGCCCACACGACCTGCTGGCCCAGGCTGAGCCTCTCACATACTCAGGGTGTTAGAAAACCTTTTTCATCTATCAAGCAGGGCGGTGCCCCTCAGAGTGGCCCATGGACAGGCACTCGTGCAGCAATGGTTCAACTGTGGAACTGCAGTCAAAAACTCTGCTTACCACCCAGGGAGACCCTCCGGTGGAACATCAGCCCCTCAGCCAGCTCAGGGCCTCCAGCCTCCCTTCATGGCTATAGAGGCATAACAGGGAGCCGCCGCCCAATCAACCCTCTGGGAGCCCCCCAGGAAGCTCCCAAGGCCGGCCTGCCCCCCCCCCGAAGTTCATCCCAGCCACAGAGTTGCCCCCACCGCAAGACTTACCCCTGCCCACCCACAGAGGTTTCCTTTTCTCCCTTGCTCCCTCCAGTCTCTCTCTCTCTCTCTCTCTCTCACACACACACACACACACACACACACACACACACACACACCTGCCACGAAGAGGGCCAACCTCCAGAGCTGCCCCTATGCCCTGTTGCCCCTCCTGCCTTCTGCTCTCAGATGCAGAAGCAGAAAAACAACTGACACCATTTGTTTGGGCAGAAGCCGGTGCTCCAATCTCACGACTGAAGCGAAATGAGACAGATTTTAATTTTAAATGAGGGCAACGAGACTAAGTCAAGGAGAGAGGCTCCAGACAATGAGGAAGGGGTAACACGTGGGAGGAAGCTGCAGCTCCCCTGATACAGCAGTGAAGAGGGTGTGTATTGGGGGCAGAGGCTTTGCTTTGGGGGGAGGAAGAAGGCCGAGAGCAGCAGAAGCCATGCATGGTTCCTCCACATTCACAGGTAAAACAGGGGCCACACCGCAGTCAAGGATCAGCCCCTGGGATGGCCAGCCCACTGAAAGGGTGCCCTGCATGCCAGAACTCAAATACACGCAGAGACACACAAACCCACCGCAATGCCTTCTCTGGCCCCAATCCAGAGATCATGATCTGAGAGTCCAATGGCAGCTATTCTGTGGCCCACAAGTTTTGTTGCTGAGGTTGGTGCCTGAGGCAAAATGTCTCTGTTACACCTCAGAGCCGGACCTTCACCTCCTGGAAAAGAAATGTGCTTCCGAGAGGAGAGGCCGTGGCAGTTCTGGAGCCTCTCGGCCTGTTGGACCACATCCCAAACCACAGGCTGGCAACTATGGTGCCAACTGCAGGCTCCCTTCTTGTGGCAACCCTGAATTGTGGCCACTGCCAGCTGGCGCTCTCCCACCCCGACCTGCCCATAACAATTTCAACCTGCAACCCACCAGGCCCTTGAAGAGCACCTTGCGTAAGAGGAGACACACACACACACACACTACTCCCAGCTGCAGCCTCACAGAAACCTGGAATCAGGGATAAAGGCATGGAGTCCAACCCCAACCTTACTGGGTTTCCACTGCAACCACCAGTGGCAAAGAGGTGGTTACGCTGAAGTGGAGGGACAGCCAGCATAAGAAGTGCTTGACCTGCTCATTGTGAAGTGGGGAATCCACTGGAAGCTTCCCCTTCATCAGTCTTCCAAAAAACCTGGACTAGCAATGGGATAGAACTGAGCCCCAAACTGGTTTGATAGGGACCTGTTCTAGCTGTTTGGGGCTGAAGTGGAGGGTGGCAGTGCCAAGGCAATATTGTCTACTCCTGAAAGGATTGATGACAGCCCCTTGCTGGATGACAAGAGCTTTCACAAATGGGCAGCGGACAATTATTGCAGCTAGAGAGCCAGAAGGAAAAAATGCCTGACAGGTGAACTCACAGTATCCCACCTTGCACCCCCTTTTTTGCACTCACTGTCTTCCTTGGTCTGGATGTGAAGGACGTTGCTGCGAACCCCATCGCCTGCCTGGGTGTAGGCCAGGACCTGGACGCTGTAATTAGTGAACTTTTCCAAGCCTCGTAGTTCTGCTCGCTCCCGGGTGGTGGTGATGTTTTGCATTTCCCCCCACTCTGCAGACAGACAGACAGGAAGGAAGGAAGGAAGGAAGGAAGGAAGGAAAGAAAGACAGAAAGAAAGAAGGAAAGAAAAAGAAAAAGAAAAAGAGAAGAAAAGAAAAGAAAAGAAAAGAAAAGAAAAGAAAAGAAAAGAAAAGAAAGAAAGAAAGAAAGAAAGAAAGAAAGAAAGAAAGAAAGAAAGAAAGAAAGAGGGCCGTCAGACCGCCTTGCATGAATGCCTATGCCGGGCGGGGCATTCCTTCCCAACATCTCTCCAGAGACTCAGGGGAGGGGGGGTGTTGCAGGAAGAGTGTTGGGACTTGCCTCGGGACGGCCCGCTGGCTACTAAGCACCCAGACTGGGCTCTCCACTTCCCCCAGAGCTCAGTGCCAAACCTCAAGCACAAGGTTTGAATAAAGGCAAGGCTGATTGGGTCAGCTTTTTGCAATAATTGCCAGGGTGTGTGTGTGTGTTTAGTCTTTCACAGGAAAGTCATCACCCCGATTCCTATGGCACCTGGAAGACTAGCATGTTTTATTTAGCATCATGTCTTTTATGGACTACGCCTGATATGTCGTTGCCTGTGGCCCACACATGCTTATGTCACATGAAAACTCCTCAGTCTTTCAAGGCCACTAGACTCTTGCGGATCCGAGGCAATCTTCCCCTGGTTCTCCACTGCAAGAGGGAAGTTCTCCTGCTCCAGCTTTGCAGGACATACAATCAGGGAAGGCACCCAAGGTTGCCAGAACAAGTCTCCCCTCCCTCTCCCCTGAGCCCTCCAGCCGTGCTTTGGCAAGAGAAAGATGCATCCTTTCAACTACCACTGGGAAGAATGCCTTGAAAGCAAGAGCAGTTCAGCAACAGAAAGGATGGCTTCAGAAGGTGGTGGTTAAACTTTCCTTCAGTGTCAGAGATGCTCCCCTGATGGACTTCCTGGGTCCGCAGGGAATTGACTGAACGACCACAATCCTACAACCCTGACCAGCAGCATTCCTGTGATTGAAAATGACTGAAGACGAACCACACATTCCCGGGTAATGCCGCTGTTCTGGGGTGGGGGGCACGCAGTGTCCCAGGATAGTCCTGCTCAGACAAAGACTCTTCGGCAGGTGAAGCCCCTTGGCCTGGCCTTGGACAGAGAGAGTCCCCCAGGCCGGCCGGCCAGCCCTGCCTTGTGCCTCTGAAAAAAGGACAGCTTGTTAGGGCTTTCCCATCCTCAAAGTCTTCCTTCTTGAACGAGCCCGTCCCAAAGCACGAGCCTGCCAAAGAAAAGGCAGGTTTTTGGGTTCACACAGAAATCTAACTCTTGTGCCAAGGAAGCTCCAGCTGCCTGATCCTCCACTGCCACCACTCAGCAAGGAGGCAGGGAAGCCACATGAGCAGAGAGAAACCCCACAGAGGTCCTCGAGAAAACCTCCTGCCGCCTTCAATGACGTTAGGCTCAAAATCTTCTTAAAGTGCCCTTGCGGAGGTGGAGACAGCGGAAGGGGAAAGAAAAACTAAATAAAGGAGAGGTGTAAGAAATGACCAGCAGCATTCCTGAACAGGGACAGGAGACCACGGGCGTGTCTGCTAGCTACTTTCTAGGTAGGATTCCGCTTCCTAAGAATCAGATAAAAAATATACTGTACAGAGGTCCAAAATAACAAAAACTCTCCTTAAAATGCTCAGCAAATGGCATGGGAATCAGGCAGCCCGTATGGCAATAGAAACTAGCCAAAAGACATGTATAACCCTCACCCTCATGCACCGAAGTGGAAGGCACAGCGGCACCCAGGCCTGTGACGCGTGGCAGC